ACACAAAGATTAATCCAGTGTAATTGGCCTGTTATGTTGGACATTGTCTTCTGTGTTGGCATCGATATGTTCTTGTCTTGTCCTTACTCTCATGGTGGGTAGAGTAAATAGTTCCGTGATTTGGGTGTTCATGGTAGGTCGCTCTATTCTTATGTGAATTGCCTCAAGAATTTGTAATCTTCTTGAATCTTGGGTTTTGTCTATTATGCAAGTATTCTTGTTCAACATTTCTCTTGTTAGAGTAATGTCATGGGCTTGTCTCATGTGATTCCTAGGGGCACCAGATTGAAGATGGCATGTCAAACGCCTCGTCAGCTTGGTCGACGTCATACCTATGTACTTACATTGAAGGTTACATCCTTCGTGGGGGCAAGTGTACATGTATACAACGCTTGACTGCTGTAGAGGGTTCTCCGTCGGCTTCGGGCTGTTTTTGATAAGGAGTTCGGAAGTCTTCTTGGTTTTGTAGAATATTATCAGGTTTATGTTTTGGTTAGGAGTAGTGTTTTTTACTCCTTTACGGATTATTTCTTTCATTATTCTTTCCTCTTTTATATGTTCACTGTGCATGGTTGATTTGTAATATAATTTTATTGGGGGTGTTGTGGTTTCTGTTCTAGGTTCTGAATTATACCAACGGTCCAAGTGTCTTCTTATAGCAGCGTTTATTTCCGCGTTGCTATATCCGTTGTTCACCAATACCTGAGTTACTCTTTCAAACTCTCTACTCACGTTGCTCCATTCAGAGCAGTGGGTAAGCGCTCGACGAATATAAGCATTGAGAACACTGGCTTTGTATCTTTGGGGGCACTCACTTCTACCGTTCAGGCATAATCCTATGTTGGTGGGCTTGGTATATACGTTGGTGCTTAAAGAGGTTCCTGTTTTTGTTATTAGTACATCCAAGAATGGCAGACTGTTATTTTCACTATTTTCATGTGTAAATCGGAGTACTGACTCTCTCTCTAGGTGTCTTTTTAGGTCAATTAGTTCATCTGAGTCTTTTACTATTACGAATATGTCATCTACATAACGGCAGTATACAGTTGGTTTTTGTCTGCTACTGAAGACCCTATCTTCGATGGTTCCCATATAAAAATTAGCAAATAAAACTCCTAAGGGGGAGCCCATTGCTACTCCGTCTATTTGTAAATACATGTCTCCTTGTGGAGACATGTATTTACAAATATATATATATATATATATATATATATATATATATATATATATATATATATATATATATATATATATATATATATATATATATATATATATATATATGTATATATATATATATATATATATATATATATATATATATATATATATATATATATATATGTATGGCACAACATGCCATATATATATATATATATATATATATATATATATATGGCACAACTCTCCTAAACACGAGAGTTAAGTATACAACTTTAGAAAGTTGAAAAGTTGTATACTTTTAAGTTGTATACGTCTAAAGTTCTATACTTCACTCTCGTGTTTAAGAGAGTTGTGCCTCATATATATATATATATATATATATATATATATATATATATATATATATATATATATATATATATATATATATATATATATATATATATATATATATATATATATACATATATGTGTGTGTGTGTATGTGTGTTTCATACTCTTACACATACTGTGTAAGAGTATGAAAGGCGTTCATACTCCTACACGCCATTCAGATCGCAATGAAATCACAATGGTGTGATATATATAAATGAAAATTATTTTGAGGCAATGGAGTGACTTTAACTCTCTACCTGGAGATTCACAAACGCCTGTCCTAACGAACTCGGCCACATGTTTCAAAAGCCGACTACCTCTAAATTCACTGTGAGGTTCTTGTAGCTTGAAAGCAGAGCTCAACCAGGGTTTTACATTCGTTCCGACCACACTCCTGTATCTCGTGGGCAGTGTGCCCACGAGATACAGACATCGGTGCTCACGGGGGTATAACCACCTGTGCCCACTAGGTACAACCACCTGTGCCCACTAGGTACAACCACCTGTGCCCACGGAGTACAACCAACTGTGCCTACGGGGTACAACCAACTGTGCCCACAGGGTACAACCATCTGTGCCCACGGGGTACAACCTCCTGTGCCCATGGGATACAACCATCTGTGCCCACGGGGTACAGACATCTGAGCCCAAGGGGTACAAACATCTGTGCCCACGAGATACAAACATCTGTGCCCACGGGGTACAACCACCTGTGTCCACGGGGTACAGACATCTGTGCCCACGAGGTACAGACATCTGAGCCCACGGGGTACAACCACCTGTGTCCACGGGGTACAGACATCTGTGCCCACGAGGTACAGACATCTGAGCCCACGGGGTACAAACATCTGTGCACACGAGGTACAAACATCTGAGCCCACGGGGTACAAACATCTGTGCCCACGAGGTACAAACATCTGTGCCCACGAGATACAGACATCGGTGCACACAGGGGTATAACCACCTGTGCCCACCGGGTACAACCACCTGTGCCCAATGAGTACAACAAACTGTGCCTACGGGGTACAACCAACTATGCCCACGGGGTACAACCAACTGTGCCTACGGGGTACAACCAACTGTGCTCACGGGGTACAACCACCTGTGCCCACAGGGGTACAACCATTTGTGCCCACAGGGGTACAACCATTTGTGCCCACGGGGGTACAACCATCTGTGCCTACGGGGTACAGACATCTGTGCCCACGGGGTACAACCATCTGTGCCCACGGGGTACAACCAACAGTGCCCACAGGGTACAACCATCTGTGCCCACGGGGTACAGCCATCTGTGCCTACGGGGTACAACCATCTGTGCCCACGGGGTACAGACATATGTGCCCACGGGATACAACCACCTGTGCCCATGGGGTACAGACATCTGTGCCCACGAGGTACAGCCAACAGTGCCCACGGGGTACAAACATCAGAGCCCACGGGGTACAAACATCTGCGCCCACGGGGTACAAGCATCTGTGCACACGGCGTAGAACCATCTATGCTCCACGGGACACAACCAACAGTGCCCACGGGGTAGAACTATCTGTGCCCCACAGGGTACAACCAACAGTGCCCACGGGGTAGAACCATCTGTGCCCCACGGGGTACAACCAACAGTGCCCACGGGGTAGAACCATCTGTGCCCCACGGGGTACAACCAACAGTGCCCACGAGGTAGAACCATCTGTGCTCCACGGGGTACAACCATTAGTGCCCACGGGGTAGAACCATATGTGCCCCACGGGGTACAACCAACAGTGCCCACGGTGTAGAACCATCTGTGCCCCACGGGCTACAACCAACAGTGCCCACGGGGTAGAACCATCTGTGCCCCACGGGGTACAACCAACAGTGCCCACGGTGTAGAACCATCTGTGCCCCACGGGCTACAACCAACAGTGCCCACGGGGTAGAACCATCTGTGCCCCACGGGGTACAACCAACAGTGCCCACGGGGTACAACCATCTGTGCCCACGGGGTACAACCATCTGTACCCACGGGGTAGAACCATCTGTGCTCCACGGGGTACAGACATCTGTGCCCATTGGGTACAAACATCTGTGCCCACGGGGTACAACCATCTGTGCCCACGGGGTACAACCATCTGTGCCCACGGGGTACAGACATCTGTGCCCACGGGGTATAACCAACAGTGTCCACGGGGTAAAACCATCTGTGCTACACGGGGGTACAACCAACAGTGCCCACGGGGTACAACCATCTGTGCATCACGGGGTACAACCAACAGTGCCCACAGGGTACAACCATCTGTGCATCACGGGATACAACCAACAATGCCCACGGGGTAGAACCAGCGGTACCCACGGGGCATAACCATCTGTGCCCACGAGGTACAGACATCTGTGCCAACGGGGGGTACAACCATTTGTGCCCACGGGGTACAACCTCCTGTGCCCATGGGGTACAACCATCTGTGCCCACGGGGTATAGACATCTGAGCCCAAGGGGTACTAACATCTGTGCCCACGAGATATAAACATCTGTGCCACGGGGTACAAACATCTGTGCCCCCGGGGTACAAACATCTGTGCCAACGAGGTACAAACATCTGAGCCCACGGAGTTCAAACATCTGTGCCCACGAGATACAAACATCTGTGCCCACGGGGTACAACCACCTGTGCCCACGGGGTACAAACATCTGTGCCCACGAGGTACAAACATCTGAGCCCACGGGGTACAAACATCTGTGCCCACAGTGTACAAACATCTGTGCCCCCGGGGTACAAAAATATTTTTGCCCACGGGGTAAAAAAACTTCTATGCCCACGAGGTACAAACATCTGTGCCCACGGGGTACAAACATCTGTGCCCACGAGGTACAAACATATGAGCCCACGGGGTACAAACATCTGTGCCCCCGGGGTACAAAATTCTTTGCCCACGGGGTAAAAAAACTTCTATGCCCACGAGGTACAAACATCTGTGCCCACGGGGTACATACATCTGTGCCCACGAGGTACAGACATCTGAACCCACGAGATACAAACATATGAGCCCACGGGGTACAAACATCTGTGCCCACGGGGTACAGACATCTGTGCCCACGAGGTACAGACATCTGAACCCACGAGATACAAACATCTGAGCCCACGGGGTACAAACATCTGTGCCCACGAGCTACAAACATCTGAGCCCACGGGGTACAAACATCTGTGCCCATGAGGTACAAACATCTGTGCCCACGAGATACAGACATCGGTGCTCAGGGGGGAATAACTACCTGTGCCCACGGATTACAACCAACTGTGCCTACGGGGTACAACCAACTGTGCCCACGGGGTACAACCACCTGTGCCCACGGGGGTACAACCATTTGTGCCCACGGGGGTACAACCATCTGTGCCTATGGGGTACAGACATCTGTGCCCACGGGGTACAACCATCTGTTCCCACGGGGTTCAACCATCTGTGCCTACGGGGTATAACCATCTGTGCCCATGGGGTACAGACATCTGTGCCCACGGGGTACAACCACCTGTGCCCACGGGGTACAGACATCTGTGCCCACGAGGTACAACCAACAGTGCCTACGGGGTACAAACATCTGAGCCCACGGGGTACAAACATCTGTGCCCACGGGGTTCAAGCATCTGTGCCCACGGGGTAGAACCATCTGTGCCCCACGGGGTACAACCAACAGTGCCCACGGGGTAGAACCATCTGTGCTCCACGGGGTACAACCAACAGTGCCCACGGGGTACAACCATCTGTGCCCACGGGGTACAACCATCTGTACCCACGGGGTAGAACCATCTGTGCTCCACGGGGTACAGACATCTGTGCCCACGGGGTACAAACATCTGTGCCCACGGGGTACAACCATCTGTGCCCACGGGGTACAACCATCTGTACCCACGGGGTACAGACATCTGTGCCCACGGGGTACAACCAACAGTGCCCACGGGGTAGAACCATCTGTGCTCCACGGGGTACAACCAACAGTGCCCACGGGGTACAAACATCTGTGCCCACGGGGTACAGACATCTGTGCCCACGAGGTACAGACATCTGAACCCACGAGATACAAACATCTGAGCCCACGGGGTACAACCACCTGTGCCCACGGAGTACAACCAACTGTGTCCACGGGGTACAACCACCTGTGCCCACGGGATACAACCAACTGTGCCCACGGGGTACAACCATCTGTGCATCACGGGGTACAATCAACAGTGCCCACAGGGTACAACCATCTGAGCATCACGGGATACAACCAACAATGCCCACGGGGTAGAACCAGCTGTACCCACGGGGAATAACCAATTGTGCCCACGAGGTACAGACATCTGTGCCAACGGGGGTACAACCATCTGTGCCCACGGGGTACAACCTCCTGTGCCCATGGGGTACAACCATCTGTGCCCACGGGGTATAGACATCTGAGCCCAAGGGGTACTAACATCTGTGCCCACGAGATATAAACATCTGTGCCCACGGGGTACAAACATCTGTGCCCCCGGGGTACAAACATCTGTGCCCACGAGGTACAAACATCTGAGCCCACGGAGTACAAACATCTGTGCCCACGAGATACAAACATCTGTGCCCACGGGGTACAACCACCTGTGCCCACGGGGTACAGACATCTGTGCCCACGAGGTACAGACATCTGAGCCCACGGGGTACAAACATCTGTGCCCACGGGGTACATACATCTGTGCCCACGAGGTACAGACATCTGAACCCACGAGATACAAACATATGAGCCCACGGGGTACAAACATCTGTGCCCACGGGGTACAGACATCTGTGCCCACGAGGTACAGACATCTGAACCCACGAGATACAAACATCTGAGCCCACGGGGTACAAACATCTGTGCCCACGAGGTACAAACATCTGAGCCCACGGGGTACAAACATATGTGCCCACGAGGTACAAACATCTGTGCCCACGAGGTACAGACAACGGTGCTCACGGGGGTATAACCACCTGTGCCCACCGGGTACAACCACCTGTGCCCACGGAGTACAAGCAACTGTGCCTACGGGGTACAACCAACTGTGCCCACGGGGTACAACCACCTGTGCCCACGGAGTACAACCAACTGTGTCCACGGGGTACAACCACCTGTGCCCACGGGGTACAACCAACTGTGCCCACGGGGTACAACCAACTGTGCCCACGGGGTACAACCACCTGTGCCCACGGGGGTACAACCATTTGTGCCCACGGGGGTACAACCATCTGTGCCTATGGGGTACAGACATCTGTGCCCACGGGGTACAACCATCTGTGCCCACGGGGTACAACCATCTGTGCCCACGGGTACAACCATCTGTGCCCACGGGGTACAACCATCTGTGCCCACGGGGTACAGACATCTGTGCCCACGGGGTACAACCACCTGTGCCCACGGGGCACAGACATCTGTGCCCACGAGGTACAACCAACAGTGCCTGCGGGGTACAAACATCTGAGCCCACGGGGTACAAACATCTGTGCCCACGGGGTAGAACCATCTGTGCTCCACGGGATACAACCAACAGTGCCCACGGGGTAGAACCATCTGTGCCCCACGGGGTACAACCAACAGTGCCCACGGGGTACAACCAACAGTGCCCACGAGGTAGAACTATCTCTGCCCCACGGGGTACAACCAACTGTGCCCACGGGGTACAACCATCTGTGCTCCACGGGGTACAACCAACAGTGCCCACGGGGTACAACCAACAGTGCCCACGGGGTACAACCATCTGTGCTCCACGGGGTACAACCAACAGTGCCCACGGGGTACAACCAACAGTGCCCACGGGGTACAACCATCTGTGCTCCACGGGGTACAACCAACAGTGCCCACGGGGTACAACCATCTGTGCATCACGGGATACAACCAACAGTGCCCACGGGGTAGAACCATCTGTGCATCACGGGGTACAACCAACTGTGCCCACGGGGCAGGACATGAATGTGTGGCTATATTTGAGTTAGTTGATAAATTATATCAGTTTCCGGTCTAGTTGTCAGCGGTCAACCGGCCACCTTCACATATTAGGCACGTTGACCGGAGTGAAAACACAGTATTTGGAAAAAATCACAGCTTTATTTACACCACAGTTATGAATTATGAAACATTTAAACATTAATTGCTCTCTCTTAAATTTGAATTTGAAAGCCTTATTTGGGTACGAGTACATGTATCCATGTTTCACTTGTCATTGTAACTATTATATAATGAATAGTTAGAGCTGGTCATTCAGCGAAATTCACTACTTAACTTTTTAACAAATTTATTGATTCTTGATTATATTGATTCTTGTTATAATTCAAACAAAAATATATGATCAACACTAAATACATTATACTTTTTGTGTTTTTTCCCATTGGCAATATTAAACAAAACCATTATCGTAACCTCGTTTGTGCAAACATGAGACGGATGTTTTTGTGGTTGCAATGCATCGCTATATTTGTTTGCTAGTAATGAACCTGTGACATCTGTGTTGCGCCAGGTGTTCAAATTCGTTTTCGAACCAGGTGTTGCCGTGAATATCCTGTGAGTGAGAAGCGCTATCATGGGCTTCCTCTGTACTCATGATTACTGAGCCAGTTGATACTGAGCTGTGTAGAGGGTAGGCCACGTCTCCCCATGACCTGTAGCGGCCTGCACCACCTGGACAGTACTGTTGGTGTAGAAGATAAACCATCTCTCTCCATGACCTGTAGCAGCCTGCACCACCTGGATAGTACTGTTGGTGTAGAAGGTAAACCATCTCTCCCTAAGACCTGTAGCGGCCTGCACCACCTGGATGGGACGTTATATCATATAATAATATTCCTTAATGATGAATTTTAAGGGGGTTTGGCTCTGTTCACTGGTGGGATGATTTGTTGAATTGTCATGATGTTCACGGTGATCATTATTTTGATGTTCGCGGCACGGTACTCGTTATCACCGTGAACACAGTCAGGGGTCATCACTGTCACAGTGATCATTGTTCGGATGTTTATGGTACGGTATTCATTGTCACGGTGATCATTGTTACCGTGATTACTGTCACGGTGATCATTGTTACCGTGATCACTGTCACACTGTTTACTGGCACGGAGATTATTCTCATCATGCATACTCTCGCCGTCAGGGGTTCCAGGGAAAAAATGTTCTGAGTTTTATTCTGTCACATCCGTTTAAGACGGAAATATTTTCAGAGTTTAAGACAAAATATTTTCAAAAACCATTTTTAGAGAATATTGACAGAAGTTTTATTAAGGAAAATAGACACCATAGCAGTAACTTTTATTTTTATATCCATTTACTGCTGTTTCACAAGTTTAAGACCTAAATTTCTAAGAGACAATTTTTAGACCGAATTTCTTCGGAGTTCATTTTAATACCGAAATTTAAAAAGAGTCCATTTTAAGACCAAATTTCTTCAGAGTCCAGTTTAAAAATAAAAATTTGCCAGAGATCAGTTTAAAATCGATTTTCATCAGCGATCCGTTTAGGACCGAATTTCTACAGAGTCCGGTTGAAGACCAAAATTAGTCAGAGTTTAGTTTATGACCGAATAGTTGGCAGAGACTATTTTAAGACCAAATTTCTTCAGAGTCCAGTTGACAACCGAAATTTGACAGAGAACATTTTAAGACAGAATTTCTTCAGAGTCTAGTTTAAAACCTTAATTTTTCAGAGTTTTAATTCTTGCCAAGTTCTTAAGAGGGGTTAAGACTGAATTTCTTCAGAATTTAGTTTAAGACCAAAATTAGTCAGACACTAGTTGAAGACCGAAATTTGACATAGCATAGACCATTTTCAGACTAAAATTTGTCAAAGACCAGTTTAAGACCGAATTTTGTTCAGAGTTTTAATGTGCACTAATGCTATTAATCTCTGCAGACTTGAGCAGATACTTTTAAAAAGTTCATCAGATATTAGCTTTTGGACACAGCTCTATACAATTATAAGTATAGTTTAGCTACTAATTACCAAAATTTAGCCTAATTTAAAACGATCATATTTCAGACATAGTAAATAAGATCAATTCAGTTACCGAGTTCTAGCGCCTGTCCTCGTCTTAGTCCCCTCGCGATGATTCAATACTAAGAGTCTAATCCCCTAAAATTTAAAACAATTACATTTTAGACATAGTAAATAAAACCAAAGCAATTACTGAGTTCTAGCTCGCGTCCTCCACCTTACTTCATTCGTACAACTCAGTTAATACCTAATCATTTCCACTAAAATTTAAACACGCTGTATTTCAGACCGTGTAAAATACAACAATTTAGTTACGGAGCTCCATCTCCTGTCCCCACCATACTTTACTCATGTAACTTCATCAATATCCAATCAATTTCCTCGAGATTGATCGACCTCTTTATTTCGTACATAGTAAAATAGATCAATTACTGAGCTCCAACTCTTGTCTCCCTGCCTTACTTTCAAATTTAAAATAAATGTAAACCAGTCATATTTCAGACATAGTAAATAAGATCAAAGCTGTTACTGAGCGCTAACTCCCATCCTCCACCCTAGTGCAGTGCTCAAACTTCATATCACGACCTGTCCCAGCCTATCACCTTATCAAAGTAACCATATCCTCTCCTTCAATACTCTTGTTAACTCAGCTATGTAAATAATCACTAATGATGTAATAATTACAAGGTCATAATACAACTTATTGCTCCTTCCTGCCTTCCTCGTTATCTTCTCCCCTCCTAATCCACTTCCACACGTTACTCCTTCCATTACCCCCCCCCTCTCTCCCTCCAATCCTCCACCCCTGCCTCCATCCTCTGTCTTATCTCCCTCACTCCTTACCTTCCCCCCTCCCATACCTAACCCACCTCTTACCCCCTCCCTTACCTTCCCCAACTTCTTTCGTCCTTATCTTCCCCTCCCTCTCGCTCCACTCCCCGCATATCACTCGTTCCCCAACTCCCCCTTCCCTAACTTCTTCCAAACCTCCATCACCAGAATTTAAAAATACAGCTATTATCCAATAATCTTACTGTATTTGTTTATTCTCGCCTTATTCACAGCATGTTCTCTATACAGCTTTAATCCTCATTATTCATGTTCTCTCCATGTCCTGTAAAATGTTCACAGCATGTTCAGTTTATATTGGCCACAAGTTTATTGTGTTCATCGCATTCTCTTACATGTTTCCTGTGTTCTTTGTCATGTTCCTCATGTTCTCTGCATTCATTGCATTTCCCTTACACGTTCTTTAAAAACAAATGAACAATTGTTTATGTCATTCAATAACTAGTTCTTTGTCAGATATTATCACCTGCACTACTCTTCCCATAACAAATTAGTTACAATTTATTTAGTCAGTCACCAACTTTATTTTAAAAAACTATGTCACTGTATTTCTGCTTAACAACTTGTTATTTCTTACCAGCACTGTTTGTAAACAAATCTGGACTTTATACAGTCACAAATTTACCAAGACATTCATGTTTTAACTAAAATTATTCTCCAATTAAATGAAAATAATCACGTTCATCATTTCTTAACTAAAATTATTCACCAATCAACTGAAAATAGTCACTTTCATTATTTCTTAACTAAAATAACCTTTCTCTCAACTGGAAAGAGCCAAAGGGATCTTTCAACGCCGTTCTTAACTTAAATTATGCGTCGTTCAGTGAAAAAAATAGTCAAAGATACTCTTCAAGACATCAATATCACACTCAAAGACATCAATAACACACTCAAAGGCACAAAAGGTACTCTTCATGACATCAATAACACACTCAACGACGTCAATAACACACTCAAAGACCTCAATAACACACTTTTAGACACCAATAACGCACTCATAGATCTCAATAACACACTCAAAGACATCAATAACAAACTCAAAGACATCAATAACACACTCAAAGACATCAAAACACACTCAGAGCATTAAAGACCCACTTAAAGACATCAAAATACTACTCATGGCCGTCTAAAGTTATTCTCAGAGTCATCAAATGTAATCACTAACTCACCTTCGTTCATCAAAAAAACTGTCTAAGACATCTTCGTGCCTCAAAATTGTTCTCTAACTCACCTTCGTTCATCAAAGTTGTTCTCTACGACATTTTCGTGTTTTAAAGAAACATTCTAAGACATCTTCGCCCTTCTTGGAATCTCTCCAAGACAGCAATAAAACATTCCAAGCTCATTTTAATTAACATTTGCACTCTTTAACGCGATTTTGTATAAAAAGATTTAATATTTAGAATTTCTATGTGCGTTAAATCAGCTCTCACTGTAGGTAAAATCGCTCTTCACTCATCAGCAAATAGTCACTAGCATCTTTGTTCAAGAAATATGTAAACTTAGGTTTGTGCTAAACTTACTAAGACATGTCATAATGTACTCACAATTAACTTTAAGTATCATATCAAACTAAGCATGAGCAACTTTATGCACTAATAAACTTACGCTTCAAGTAAAAATAAATAAAATAACTGACTTTTATGAAGTAACAGCTTTCACTAAGACAGGTTCGCCAAGACATTTACAGTCAAAAACTTGATAATAACACTTATTATGTCACAAAATACAACTCTTCAAGTAACTAGTTCACCTTTTCGTAAAAACTTTCATTTCTGTTAATATTAATTATACTGTTAAAATACATATTCTTCCCTACTTTATCTTACACTATTCTCTGATCAACAATTCATTATTTTACCTAACTTAACTTACGTGTACTAGCCTATTATAACCTAACCTAACCTGATTATCTTAATGTAACTTACCTACTCCAACTTACCTATTCCTCCCTATCTTAGCTAAGTTACCCAGCCTGATATAACCTAACTTACATAACTTAGCATACCTAATGTAACATTTACTATCCTGAATTACCTGTATCGACTGAGCTACGATATTCAGTCGGTACAGGTAATGGTGTGGTTCGCCCTTCATTACATACCAGGCTACGGTGTGTAATGAAGGAAGGGCAAAGAGGTAGAACGGCCTATTGACATAGCTCCAGTGCATGAGGGAGTTGTGAAAAAACCCTAGTGTGTGTCTCGGAGAGGATGCAGGATCCAGTAAGTTCAGTAAACATCGGTTTCAACTCTTTTTAACCATGTCGTAGCTCAGTCGATTAAGGCAGCATCTGGGATGATCACAGACGTAAGTTCGAATCCTCATCACGGCCTTTGTGGATTTGTTCATTGATGCATCACGTTATTGTGATTTCTGTGTGAACTGTAGTAATCTATCCTAATGTAACTTTTCCTAACTTAACTTACACAACGTAACTTCCCCTACCTAACCTAACCTAACCTAACCTATTCTACATTATGTGGAATAATCTAACTTACCCGATGTAATTTACTCCTCCTGACCTAACCAACGTACATAACTTACTTACTAACTTAACTTACATAACATAACTTATCTACCCTCACCTACCTAATTTCCTTTCCCTAATGTAACTTGTCCAACCTGACATGACCTAACTTCAAGGAGGTCAAGGAGATTTAGACCTGAATATATATATGTTAAACACTGAGTTAAGTTTGACAGCCAGTTTAAGAGTACAAGCAGTGATCAACGATATAGATAAATGAATGGTCATGAAATGTGGAGAATTTGCTGGAGGTTTGAGGCTCGCCTCAGAGGAGTTTGGGCTCGCTTGAGCTGAAGAGATCGTGAGGGGAGGGTGTGCTCCGTTTGAGCCCCTGGTGAAGAAGAACCCCTGTTTGATATATACCTTCAAGAGGAAGGAAGTGGACAGACGTCTCGACTGAGGAATAAGTTGGAAGGCGTGTCACCTCAAGTTAGGAACTGCAGAAGGTGTTATGGAATAGTTAGTGCAGCTCTGTGGGTAGCCTGAGGCGCCCTGAGTGTCGCCGCCCGGCCAGTGAGGACCAGCTAGCCAGCTGGTCCTCACTGTGGACCAGTCTGTGGTAAGCATTTTAAACAGTTTACAGTGATTGTCTGCAGTTGGTCGTGTGCCCAGCGACCATAGGAAGTTTTTATTGATATATTAGACATATTGTGTAAGGCAGAAAGCCTAAATAAGAGAGTGAAGATAGCAGGACCAGCTGAAGGGAGGAGCAGCATATCCACACCTGCCGATAGCTTGGGGGTGACTGACCAGCTGGCAGCCTGGGGCGGGCGGGTCTTCCCGGAAAGTGGAGAATGGACCCGCCCGGGCGTGGGGGAGAGTACTCGCGGCAGGTAAGAGTCAGAGGGATGTCGGGTGGAGACATTGTATGTGTAGTTTATATTTAGTTATATGTTTATAGACGAACATTTTTACTCGCAAATCGATGGGTTGCAGGTTTGTCCTGAGGAAGAAGTTGATGGGAGCACTCTGAGGCCAGAGAAGAAGTTGATGAATGGAACTTCAAGCCTGTAGGAGTAGATGTTGTACTCTGTGGAAGAGCAAGCCCCATAGTGAGGAATTGGACCTCAAACTGTGTGAAGAGGAGCAGTGACGTGAAGTCTCACATACTTCTGTGGAATCAGTGGTAGAGTACCACTGGAATCCAAGAAAAACTTCATGGTGCAGCAGCCTGGAAGAGCTGTAGAGGATCCTGGTAGATGAATCTGGAAGAAACTGATGGTGTCAGGGTAGTGAACTTACAAATGTTGGAAGGAAGTTCTTATTCACTACTTGTAGGGAGTTGGTAGAGAGCTTCATTGTCATTAGCGTGCAAGATGCAGTGAAAGGTGGGTGAGTGATTATCATTTCTATGCCAAGGAATACTTATACTGAAGTTTATAGAGTTACAGCTATAGGCTGGATTACCTGCAGATCTTTCCTGTAGACATATAATATAAAATATGACCGAAAAAGTAAGATTAATAATTCTAACACGAATTTTCTCAATATTTCCTATGGTTACGAACTTCTTATGGTCGTATGAACTTGAAACCGGCCATATACTGCAGGTATGTTGACGACATTTTTACACAGGTACCTGATGTCAGACATCTGCAGGAGCTGAAGGAGGCATTTGAGCGGAATTCTGTGTTGCGTTTCACTTACGAGATGGAGAAGGATGGGAAGCTGCCCTTTCTATATGTAACAGTCATGGAAAGGAGCGGAGGTTTCCACACTGCAGTCTACACTAAGGAAACAAACATAGGAATGTGCCTCAATGCCAACAGTGACTACCCAGAGAGGTACAAGAGGAGTGTTGTTACCGCTTATGTCGACCGTCCTCTCAGCCACAGCTCAGGATGGAAGCAAGTCGATGAAGAACTCTGTAGGGTAAGGCAGGTCCTAGTCAACAACGGCTTCTCCAATGGTTTCGTTGAAGACATCATAAGAAGGAAAGTGAAACGCCATGCAACCTCTGAAGAGACAACAAACACAACACCTGTACCCCCTATCAGACTGTTTTACAGGAACTTCTTTTCCACAGCTCATAAAACGGAGGAAAGGGTCCTGAAAGATATTGTTAATAGAAACGTTATCCCTACAGACAAAAATCAGAAGATACAATTGACGATTTACTATAAAACCAAGAAAACTGCCAACCTACTCAAGAGAAACTCTCCAGACACAAAGCAGAACGCTTTGAAAGAGACCAATGTCGTCTATGTCTTCAACTGCCCACTTGGGGACTGTAAGCCTCAAAGAACTCAGTATGTAGGCAAGACAACAACATCTCTTTCCAGGCGATTAACGATGCATAAGCAAAAGGGCTCCATTAAGGAACATATAATCTCTTTCCACAACCAAACCATCGTCAGAGAAATCCTAGTAAACAACACAGAAATCATCGATAGACACAGCGATAGCAGGCGGCTTGACGTTTGCGAGGCACTACACATTAAAAAGTCAACACCAGCAATCAACAGCCAATTAATGCACAACTATATTCTACCCACCTCAAGACTCCGCTCCAATATAGAAGCATCAAGAAATATGGACCAATAGGCTTTCTACAATCACTTCCATTCAATACCCATTGTTTCGTGTTCTGTCTTGTGTTGATGAAATTAATACCCTATTAAATACCACCTCACCCCATCCACCTCACTCAAATGTAGATATAAACAAATCGGAGATGTGTAAGTTCTATTCAGTTGTGTATGTGTAAACTAAAGTCTTTGAAAATGGAATAAGTTTTACGGAACGCGCTCAAGTGTCGCGTCAGACTAGAAATAAAAATGAATTTTGGAGAATTGATTTTTGAATTACCACCAACAGTGAAAAGAAAAGTACGAAAGATCGAGAAAATTCGTGTTAGTGGGGAGTCATGGCGGCTCAAGTGGGTGTGTGCACGTGACAACGAGGCTAGTGTTGGAGCCGCATCCCCTAAACATGTGACGCCTAGCCCCTCTCCAAGTGCCAGGAGTGCACAGGTTGATCTCCTGGTCAAAATAAGCACTCTCCAAGATTTTGATGGGTTGTCCAGGAGAGACAATCCATTGACTTAATACTACATAATAACATGGCGTAACCTATTCTAATAGGACTTATTATAACATAACTTACACAGCACAACTTCCCAACCTAACCTAACTTGCATAATTTGTTCACTTAACTGTTCTTAAATTACTTTCCCTCTCCTACATAATGTTACTTAACCTAAGAATAATCTTATTCTCTCTGAAACATCACCTTTTCATTTATTTCCGCAGAAATTCATACAACTCTGACAAAAACACACAAACTTTCACAAGTGATCCAGTATATACATACTCTTTCAAACTTGCACAACAACATAAACTTAGACAAAGTAGCACAACTCTTGCATACTCTTAGACACTTTAAAAAACTCTTACACATATATACTAGTTTCAGAACATTATATAAAAAGCATATCAAACTATCTTATCTTAGCCCAATCTTATTACATTTCCTTTTGTTTGTTCTGCTTCCAATCTCTATTATTCCTTATGAAGTATTGTTTAAGCATCCTTCCCTAACCTAACCCAACAACCTTAACCCAACCCAATAACCCCTAACACTTTCCCACCTAACCATTGCTTATTTTATATATCCTCATACTTTTTCAAAATAATTTATAGGAAGTCCATTTATGATATCTAGTCTTTTACATACTTTCTTAATACATTTAAAAAACTAAGTCTTCTCATTCATCTCTTTCTTAGGTTTAAGTCCCAAGTACTTAAGACCATTTATTCAATAACCTAAGTTAAGTTTTATATTTTTCACCAGTTAACTAACTAAAGTTACACATCTTGTCAGTTGTATACATGATTCCTGCTGGGTTTTAGTGTTTCGTCAATCAATGTCTCAGATTCATTTGTTCGTTACAAGGGATAATTTCTTAAATAGGGGTTTCAAGGGTTATTTATTAAAGATAGGGTATTTAAGCATTTCAAAGGAATATTTGTTAGAGATGTCAGTTTAAGTACTTTGTATCTTTTTACTTAAAGTTCATCAAGTTGCTCATAAGTTGTATTTACTATATTTGATATAATTGTTCTTATTCTTTGACCTTCAACCTAACCCTTCAGATGTAGTGTCTTATGTTGGACATATTTGTTGAATATATTATCCTTAACCTAACCTTACAGATTGAGCTTTGGTTCACCACATTGTATATGTTTTACCCAAATCCACCTTCCCACTTAACCTTCCCTCCCTCTGTGGAAAAATCCTAGCAGGTTATTTTTTTTTTCTGTAAATACTAAATATTTTTACTTATTTTTAATTGACTTTAATATGATAATTTTATTTGATTATTTTTCTTAGTTAATTCTTAGTAATAAGTTTGTTAAAAATTAAGTAAGTGAGTGGACTGTATGTACTGATTCAGCTGCCTGAATTTATCTCACATAATTGGGGGACAATTTGCAGCTTAAACCACTTTGAGATGGCTCCTTCATAAAATACAAATTGTTTACCTAATCTTCATTATGTAAATTATAAATCATACCACATATGTTGCTGTAATCTACTATTATTATAGCAATAATGAGTTTATAATTTATAATACTATGTCTACAGTATTGTACTAAAAAAGGGGGCTTAGCTGTTCCTGTTGATGGGGCCTGCTAAGGATGTGTAATTGTAGCATTAAAATTAGGGTGTGGCTCTGTGCTTCGGAGTGCCACGTAATGGCGGCTGTCTGGAAGCCTACTAAGCTTGATGGACAGTTAATGGAAGCAATTTCTATAATTATGTTGGGAGCCAGCTTCCTGCTTCACTAACTTCCCTCATAATTACCTGTTTGGGATGTAAGGAATTATTAAAGGTTCCCTAAACATAATTACAGATATGACATGTAATATGTGTGTGTAGAGCTGAGTACGTACGTGTTGGTGGGGTTTTCTCATGCAAATAACCGGCTACCTATCTATATTAAATGATGCATCAAAATAAAATAGAATACTAGGCAGTCGGATACTCAAGTGCTCCAGTTGTAGTAGAGGTGTTGCTGTGGTAGTTCTCTTGGGACAGAGTAGAATTTCTCGTGCGGGACTAGTATCACAACTCTCTGGAGCACCCGTATTTTGCTATGAATCTCTCTCTGTGTAGAGTGATGCTCCCTCCCTCCTAGTTCCAATGTTTTGGTGGTTATACTTCTAGATTTAATTTTACAGTAACAAGGGAGTCAAGCTATATTTTGGTGTTAGTAATTATATTCAGTCCTAGTGAACACTTTTTTATTAAATTTAAAAACTAGACTGTGGTTTAAAATAAATTATGAGAAATGTAAATACGTGACGTCGATGATGTCACGGAATCACCCATTCTCTTTTCTTTAAGGGGATAACCATGTTATTATGTGTGTCAGGTTTCAGACATAATTCCGAAGGGGAGGAACACGGATCGAAGTCCGGGTAAGGACTGCGATCACTTTATTCTTTTCCTTCAGAATTATAGTGCTGCTTTATTTGAGTTTACATTGTTGTGTTGCAGTCCTTTGGGGACGTATGTCCCGTACTGGCGTTTCGGGAAGTCGTTGAACGTCTTCTTTTCCTGCCAGTTCTAAAGGAACTAATTTCTCTAATGTTTTCAGAGTAGTGTTTTCTCGGCATTTTACTTTCGCTATTCTCAAGATGCTCTGGTTGTCTGCATGAACAGTGACTATTTGGCCTATAGGCCACTCTGAGCGTGGCCCATCGCTGTCCACCAGAACTATGTCACCAGGGTTCAAGTTAATTCTGTTGTAGGGGTTGTTTCCCCCGTAATGATACTCCCTCAGAGTAGTAATGTATTCTCGAATCCATACGTCATTCCATCGACTTATCACCCCTGATAGATGTTTGAAACGTTGAACCAAATCACTCTCTCGGACATATGAAGGATCCTCTGGTTCCTCGTCTGTAAGGGACACTAGGGTGCTGAGAGGTCTCCCATACATCAGATGAGCTAGACTTAATGGTTCACGCTGCAAAACATCATCAGAGAGGTAGGTAAGTGGTTAGTTATTAACTCGTGCTTCTATCTCTATGGCTACGGTCTGGAGCTCCTGTAGGTCAATCTTTTGGCGGTGTAGGGTTTTCAGTAGAGAACGTTTCACCGTACCATCATGCGTTCATAGAAGCCTCTGTGCCATGGTGCTCTGGGAGCTGTGAATTTCCAGTGGCACTGCAGTTGATTTAGGGCCGTGCATACCTTAGGGTTATCTTGAGATGATTTTGGGGCTTTTAGTGTCCCCGCGGCCCGGTCCTCGACCAGGCCTCCACCCCCCAGGAAGCAGCCCATGACAGCTGACTAACACCCAGGTACCTATTTTACTGCTAGGT